CCAGCCTGGGTGAGTGGCTGATGGCTGTTTGCAGGCTGGCCACAGCCCCCAGCCACCCAAGCTCCCAGTGGAGGCTGGCTGGAAGCAGGTATCTGGGAGTTATTTATCTTCTATAATTGAAACTTTGTTGCCTTGAGCTGAGGCCACAGCTGGCCAGGGCAGCGGGGAAGCTTGGCTTCCTCCATCGCCAGGGCAACCAAGCCTCCTGCTTGCTCCAGCTCTGTGGCTGCTGGCCGCAATCTTGGTTAGGTTAATTTGCATATAGCCGCTCTGATTGGCTGGTGGGTGTGGCTTGGGGCATAGCAAAAGTACAGTCAATTTGCATGTTTCTCCTTTATTAGATTAGATATTGGCCTTGCCTAATTAATTTAAACTATATTAATTGGCAAAAATGTTGTTTACACACAGCTTTTCAGGAATGCATTTATTTCTTAACACAGACACCACCTGTCCTGGTAGTCTTGAGCACATCTGTGATTCTGTATCCTCTAGCGCTGGGATCCCTCAGTCTCCTTCCCCTGTGCACAGAGAGCTCGATTAGGCCTTTTGTGCATTCATTCATTCATTCGTTTGTTCATTCACTAAACATCATACAATATTTACTGAGGCCCTGGCCTCAAAAAAAAAAAAAAATCAATGGTGGAAGCACTTTTTCTTCCTCATAATGTTCTAGTCTACAAAGCAGACAAATCAGAAACATTTCCAGGGCTGTGCTCTATACCTGCTCCAATAACATCAATGGCTCCAGCTTTTATTTTCAGAGAGTTCAGGAAGCTTGACGATATTAGGCAAAAGCATGACACCTTTGGCCTGTCGGGTCTGTTTTGGTCAATACAGGCTGTAGTAGTCAGCTTGGGCTGCCATATCAAAATACTCTACTACAGACTGGTGGCTGAACAATTTATCCTCACAGTCCTGGAGGTTAGGAACCCAGGATCGAGGTGCCAGGAATTCAGTTTCCGGTGAGAACTCTCTTTCTGGCTTGTAAACGGCTGCCTTCTGGCTGTGTCCTCATGTGGCTACTCCTCAGTGCTTGTGTGAAGGGAAATCCCTGGTCTTCCCTCCTTTTCTTATGAGGACATCAATCCTGAGGAGCAGTGAGGTCCCACCCTGATGACCTCACTTCCCCTTAATGACCTCCTGGTAGGCCCTATCTCCACATACAGTCCCATTGGATATAACGTGACTTCAACGTGAAGTTGAAGGGACACAAACATTCCGCCCATAGCAGCCAGTACAGATTTGTGCTTTCCCTCCCTTGATCCAGACAGCCACTCACCCTGACACTGGACACATGGGTCAAAGCATATACAGGTCCCTGAAGGAGCAGATCTGCTCATCTCCCTTTGGGCCCACCTATCCTCAAGGAGGGTGTGGCTTCGGGGTGACCAATGCCAGGAATGTCAAGGTCCTAATCTTAGAAACCCCATCCCAACATGCAACCCCACCTCCCTTCAAAAAGAGAGTAAAATTCTCCTGCCAGGAGAGAGATCTCTTTCATGTCCCAAATTATAATGGCTCAGGGTTGTCCAAGCTAAGAAGTGTGTGTGTGTGTGTGTGTGTGTGTGTATGCATGAGTGTGTCTTGGTTCAGACATTATTCAGTGTCTCAGCTCCCTGGAGTGTCTCCATCTGTTGTGAGATGCTGTCTTATATAATATTTACTCATCGGGCTGAGGTTGGTCACAAGGGCTCTCGGGGAAGGTCAGTACGCTGTCGCTCTCAGAAGGTGGAACTGCTCTCAGATGCACGTGACAGCGGCCCCAGCAGCTTAGCCAAAAGGGGGATTGCTTTTCTCACACACCATGAAATTTGGAGGCAGGCAGTCCAGGGCTGCTGGGGCAATCCTGCCATGCCATCAGGGACCCAGGCTGTGCCAGGCTTTCCGTTCTGCCCTCTTGTATGTGCAGCTTTCATCAGGCTCACTTGCATATTGGGCGGCTAATTCTCTAGACATCGTGTTCCAGTTCCAGGAAGGAAGAAGAAGAGGGTAAAAGATGAAAGGAGAAAAGGTGTAGGTTGGATTGAGCACATCCTCTTGAGTGAACCCCACTCAGTGGCTTCTGTTTGTTTCTTACTTGGCCACAGGTGTCATAGGGCCATTCCCAGCTGTAAGGGAGCCTGAGAGGGGAACATTCTAAGTGGGCACCATGCAATCCTGAATAAAGTAGCATCGGGTAGTAAGGAAGAAAGAGTAAATGACTGTTGGGTAGTGTCTGCCACAAACAGCATTCTCCCCCTTGAAGGAGGGGCTGCCTGCACAGGGGAAGCCAGAGAAAGGGGACAGCTGGGGTCCCCATGCCTCGCTCCTCTCCCTAGCAATTCAGCTCTGGCCCAAACTCTCCAAAAACTGCTCGGCAAACAACAGCCAAGCAGATAACTGCGTTGTCATTCAATGTTTGTTAGCTCGGCTGCCACTGTGTGCCAGGCAGTGCCCTAGGAGCTTGGGAGACAGTCCTGGAGCTGGCATTTCCTAGTGGGTCAGGCAGACAATAAACAAATAAACATATAATATGATCAAGCCTCTGACATAAGAGAAATTTCCATAAAGGGATAGAAAGTGGGGAGAGATTTTTAGATCCTGTAGCTTAGAATGACCTCCTTAAGGAGAAGGCATTTGAGCAAAGAAAGGGAAAAGTGAAGGAATGAGTGTGGGGCAAGACCTTCCCAGAGTGGAACCACACTGGCCTGTTCTGCAAAGAGCAGATGGGCCTGAGGCACTAGAAGGCAGGGGAAGGGGGGGGGGTGTTGCAGGCAGAGGGGAGAGGGTAGCAGCCACAGAAGACCTGGGAGACCATGGTAACAACTTGGGATGTTTTTCCTCAATTTGATGGGAAGCCTCTTGGTGGGTTGGAGCAGGGAACTGACATATGCTTTTCAGCTTTGAAGGATGTCTCTAGATGCTGGGCAGGAAATGGACTGTGAAAGGAACAAGAGTGAGAGACGTTAGGAAGCGGAACTGGAATCCGAGAGAGAGCGATGATGGCGTTCGGGATCAGGGTGGGGATCCCCAGTGGAGACGGTGGGACGCAATCACTGTTGCGATGCATTCTGAAGGAAGGTAGACAGGACGTGGGGTAGGGAAATCCTGGAGGTTCAGCCTGAACAATGAACACCTCTCTCCTCCGAAGGCTTCGGGGAATTTCAATTTCCTCCCTCCCGCTCCGTTTCCAGGAAGGCTCTAGGGCCTTTACAGAGCGCTGCCCTGGCAGCCGCCCAGCCTCGCTTGCTGAGAGTATTGAAGCATCCAAGTTTAAATAAATGAACACAAATGTAAGGTTTTATCTCTCTCCGTCACTCATTTGCATTTTAATACACTTTCTAAAGCAAAGGAGAAAAGAGTGGAGGCAGTCACAGAGCCTGTCCTATCCATACCCTTGTTCACTCCAAGGAGCCGCAAGGGTGCATTTCGAATTTCTACTCCCTTAATAAGCTGAAGATGTCCTGCACATATGGGGGATGTGTGCGATTGTGCTTTTCTTCCTACTAAGAACTTTGGGGTTTTGATCTGGTAAACTGGGGAAGAGGGGTGTCTCGCATGTGATCATTTCTCATAATGTGTATCTCTCAGTGGGAAAAAAGGTTTTCCATGGTAAAACATACCGTGCGGGATGAATTGCTCTAGGATATTAATAGGTTGCTTAACATATGAAGAGGGGGCTATACTTAAAGCAACAACAAAGAGCTTCCTCGTTTTAAACTTGATAGGATAACACTGAGAAGAGACAAAACATATCTCTAGACTGCATTCCTAAGCCATTTCTGCAACTGGAGGGTTAAAACTTGAAATTAGGGAGTTTCTCAGGTTCTCCCACCTTTAGGGGCAGAGAAGAGCCGCTGACCCTGGTTGTGGGCCAAGGAAGGTCTTCATGAAGGAAGACATTCTCAGGAAGAAGTGAGAAAACCATGCAGGGCACAAGGCGGGGTTGAGTGATTTGTGCTGGAGGGCTGGAAAGCGGTCCTGACACACTCCCTTCATCGGTCCATTCATTACATGGATATAAAATGAGCACCGGCTATGGGCCAGGCACTGTTCTAGGTGCTGGATAAGCATCATCAGATAAAACGGATATTGTGCCGGCCATCATGGAGCTCAAGGGGAAGAGGAATAATGACAAATACTGTAAATGACAAATTGTGATAAGATGTATGAAGGGGCCCAATGGGCAGTGATGAACAATAGCACCTGGACAGAGCCCATGTCTGTAAGGAGGTGAATTGTGAGGTAGAGAGTAAGGGGGTCACTGTAGATGATCTTTTGAGGTCAAGGTGTTGACCTCATGATGTGAAGACCCCATGAGAGTCAAGTTCTGTGTAAAGTTTACAGTCAACTTTTAGCTGTGTGTTGTGGGCGTGGAGAATGGTTAAAGAGAACCCTGCTGCCCTCAAAACTGTCTGTGCTGAATTAGGCCGTGTAGGAATACAAGGTGTCCCCCAAAAATGTGGACACACTTTAACAGCTGATAGCTCAATTTTGAAAATGAAAGGTATTTTAATAAACACCGCCTTTATAATTGTTTAATGCGTGTGTACATTTTTGGGGACACCCTGTATGGGAAGGTTCAGCCATGGGATGCGAAAGGAACCTTGATGCCTCTCCCATTAATTCAGGTTCCCTCCTGATTCTTGCAGCAGCCGCGGAGTTCCGTTCAATAGCCGAAACTGAAGACGCCCTCCTCAGACATTTATTCCAAGGTTATCAGAAGTGGGTTCGCCCTGTATTAAATTCTAATGACACCATAAAAGTACACTTTGGATTGAAAATATCTCAACTTGTAGATGTGGTGAGTAATCCTTGACACGAACCCAAAAAGAACACGCATTCCTTAACCTCTTTGTGAGTCTGAGATTTTATTTTGCTTTCTTTCCCCATGGCTGCCATTTCAATTTTAAAAATAACTTACTGGGAGAGAAAATCTGCCCCAAGAAGCCAGTGAAATGACCCGAGGAAAGAATGAGGAGTGTCATAGGGTGCATTTTCACTGCGACACCGTTAGTGCGGGGCGTTTTTGCTGGAGGGTGGATATGGTTGCGAGGATGGAGGGGCACTGCCGCTGATGGGTTTGCTGTGGGCACCCTGGGTGAGGAGGGGAGGCAGGGGAGTAGGAGAGCTGAACTCAGGCTAATCCAGAGTCCTCTCAGCTGAGGAAGGGGCTGGCAGGGGCAACTGCAAGGAGTGAGGGCAGATAGATGATGACAGCCAGAGCCAGTGCCTGGGCAACCCCACCACCCTCCTGGGGCCCCTCAGGCGCCCGCACCTTTCCCTGACCTCACCCACACTTTAGGATTCTCTGCTAATTTTCTTGCTGAGCTCGTACTTCTGCCATGATTGCGTTCCTGGAAAATCGGCGAACTGTAACAACCCAAATCCTGCAAAACCATCCTGCTGTGGTCCCCAAAGTCCCAGAGTAATCCTCCCACGTTACCCAACCCCCCCACCCACCACACACTCACCCACCCCAGCTGACTCAATGCCCAGGAGTCCTTCTAGAAAATCGTGCACAGCCCACTCCAATTTAGCTAATATTTAATTCTACTTGGCATCCCAAAGTGCTTATGCAATTATATACAAATACCACCACAATGAACCGCTACTTGCTTTAATTATTTTTTTTCATTTTAAGCAAAATATGCATAATATTTTAGGATCTCATGCATTTAAGTTCTTACATTGAGAATTCTTTACATTTTGAGCACCTCAAAGGTAAGATTCAGAGTTCATTCTGACAAAAAAAATCCAAAATGCAACTTTACTTAAATTGAATTTACATCTTTTTATTTGTCATTTTCTTAGGATGAAAAGAACCAGCTGATGACAACAAATGTGTGGCTCAAACAGGTAAGTGTCAACTCAAGAACTGTACTTGCCAGCCTGATTATCTCCATTCTTTAGAAAGGCTCCCATTTGAAAAATAATTATTTTAAAGGGCATATTGGGTTCTTTAGGGAGATATTTGGGAGCAGGTGGGTTTATTTCAAAAAAAAATTTCTTAAATTTATTTTATTAAATATGTTTTTGTTGATTTTTTTAGAAAGAGGGAAGGGGGAAAGGCAGGGGGGAACATTGGTGGGTTGCCTTCCATATGACACCCCAACTGGGGATTGAACCCGCAACCTTTTGGTGTATGGGATGAATCTCTAACCAACTGAGGCACCCAGTGAGGGTGGGTCTATTATTTTTTAATTTTCTTTGCAAGAGTCAGAAAGCAGGTCTTGGGCACTCACAGGGGTGCCTTCTTCTGTTGTTGTTCCTTCTGTTGGACTGTCCACTGGGTGTGCGGTGGGAGGGTGACTGATCATGAGGCCTGGGCATGGTCCCTGGGCCACTTGGCGAAAAGGGGATAAAGGCTCCAGGGTGCAACTTTGCCCCATTTAAGGCACTGCACTTGGATGAGAAAACTGATGATGTTAAATTCCCCCTCACTCCACCAGTCGTCTGTGGGAAAAACCTACCCCCAGGAGTCCTGTTGCTCCCTACAGAGAGAAAGCAGGGAATGACAGGAGGAGTCCACCATGAATTTCAGAATAAAGTGACACCTCAAACAAAACAATGAATATGTTTTTCTGATGTAACTGAAAATGCATTTGAATGGTCTTCAGTAGTGATGGCGAACCTTTTGAGCTCGGCGTGTCAGCATTTTGAAAAACCCTAACTTAACTCTGGTGCCGGGTCACATATAGAAATTTTTTTATATTTGCAACCATAGTAAAACAAAGATTTATATTTTTGATATTTATTTTATATATTTAAATGTCATTTAACAAAGAAAAATCAACCAAAAAAATGAGTTCGCCATCCCTGGAATATGCTAATTGACTGTCCCACCCTTAAAGATGGTGGCATCACTTAATCTCCCACAGATTTAAAATCTTCTTGGTGGTGCTATCTTAAATATCTCGCTCAATTTTAACATGCAACCATGATACTGTTGATTTCTTTATATTGAAATAAGTTAGTTATTTATTCCGGTTTAGTGGACATTGTTTAGATCTCTCTGCTAATGGTTTATAAGGAACGATGGATAAAGGGAACTGTGAGGGAATCCACAGCTTCATTTAGGGTCATCAAGTTGCTTCTACCCAAAAACTTTGATCAGAGTGAGAGCATAGTTACTGCTTTCAGTTTCTCTGATTCTTTCATTGGCAGCTATGTTAGCAACCTATGAAATAGATCTGCATTTCATTTTACTTGCAGATGAAGATCTTCAGGAGAAAATAATAAGCTGAGAATGTAGGTATAAAAACACAATCTAAATAATCTATATTGTCTTATATACTTATCTCTATCTTCAGAGACTTATCCCACTTTAGAGGCTGTGGACCTTGGAGGTATTTTGAGTTAATAAAAATCAAAAGGAAGTCCTGTATTTGAACTTGCAGGGGAGAGAAGAAAACCTTCTCTGTAAATAGGCTGAGATAGAAAAACAACAAACTTACTGCTTCACACACGCCTCCTTCTCCAACTGCTCCTCACGGTTAAGCTCTTACTGATCTGCCACACAAAACACTGGTCCAGGGACCCTTGTCCTGTGAAACTGAGATAGTAGGTGCTTATACTTTCTTGAGGTTTTGAAAGCTAGAAAACATCAGCCAAAGAACAAGGTTAGACGTGAAGGGAAGAAGCCATGGGGGCCTTCACTGAAGCTTTGGAAATGACTCCCAGCAGTTAGGCCACCGGAATCAGGGACCTGGAGAATGCCTCCAGGTCAGGGCAGAATCAAAATCTAAAACCTCCAACAAAACGGAGCAAGAGGGATCTGTAGGAGGGGGGCCATCTGACACTTGGAAAAGCCAGCCTGCTGACTCTGGGCCCGCTCCAGAGACGTGGATTGCATTTAATGTGCAAAGGGTTGTCGTAGCTCTTATCTCATAAACCTTCTCAGCCACTCTTGATTAGCAAAGCAGGTATCCTTGTCCCCATTTTCAGAGATAGAATCTAATAGCTCATCTGGCTGGAACCTGGGTTTCCCTGGTTTGGGCCTTCTCTGCCACACCCAGCCTTTGCCCTTTAAACATCAAGATCTGTTTTTAAATCATAGGAGGAGTCGAAGTAGCAAAACAACTGCATATTTCATAGAATCGCAAAGAAAATGATCAAAGCTGCTCCACTAACACAAACTGGATTGGGAGTGGAATGTCACAACAGGTATCCTATATAATAAAAGGCTAATATGCAAATTGTCCCCTCAACTGAGAATTTGACCTAGACTTCAACCAGCCCACAGCCCCTCCCCCAGGCCAACCCCACCCTGGATTGCCCCCCCAATCTGGGTCGGGCCTGGCCAGCCAACAGTCCGAGGCCTCTCCGCCCACCAGCCCTGCCCCCAACTGGCCTCCCCACCCCAATCAGGGGCGGGGCCAGCCAGACCCCACCTGTGCACAAATTCGTGCACCGAGCCTCTTGTTAGTTAATAAGTACTATTTTATGGCACAAACAATACGGGAGCAAAAAAAGATGAATTCTATGGCATGAGTGGCAGGCAGGGAAGGCTGCATAGAATAGGAGGCATTTAAACTCTGCCATGATGTCACTTTATAGGGTTTAAAAAATTTTTTTATATTTTTAAGGATAAAAGAAAGATGAAGGGTACAAAAAAATGGACAATAAAAACAATAAAATTGGTGTAAAAAGAAAAGCTATCATTAGTGTTTTACATGGATCTCAATTTCAGAGCAGCTAATAACAATAATACCTAATATTTATTGACTGCTAAGTGCTTAGGCACTAAGCTAGGTGTTTCAGGAGAAAGAACTCAGTTAATTCTCACAACTACCTTATAAATTAAGTTCTCTTAGGATTCCCATTTTGCAGATGAGAAAACTGAGGATTGGTGAATTGAAGTGTCCAATTTCCACACTGCTAAGTGAAGTCTGGCTTATACTAGTATAGAGAAATCATTCCCTTCCTCAGACGAGAAGGAGCTGAGGGAAGATGTCCAGTTCTCACAGTGCTATTTATCTCTGTAAAGGCTGGTTTCTAACCCTGTCTTCAAAGGCATGGATTCCTCAGTCTCTAGGACATCTCATGAACTTGGTCTAGAAAGACAGTTAGGAGAGAATGAAGTAAGGATTCATAGCATCTTTCATTCATTCCACAGGGTTTATTGAGAGCCTACTAAGTGCCAGGTACTCTGTAGATCTTGGACACACAAAGAATAAAACAGCCCTGCCTTTAAGGAGAGAAGACAGTTTTAATTGTGTTAAAAAAAAAACCAACTACTGTAATATGATCAACACTTTAAAGAAAGTATACATAAGGAACTGTGAAAATGAGACAGGGAGAGCTTCCAAGGGGAGGAGATATTTAAACTGGGTCTTACAGAATTGATAGTTGTGTAAGCCAAAAAGGTGAAGAAGTTGTGAATCACCTGAATAGCATTCCCAGTAACAAGACTTCCCAAAGCTCTCACATTAGAGCAATCCTCTCGGAAATCCTTTCCCTGTATAACTCTACTAAAATTACTCTCTAATTTATATCTATGGAGAGGATAAAATGCGATGTAATTGGAACAAGAGTATGTTCCATGGTAGCATACACAACTGAGATACCTGTTTTGTGTGTTGTTGTGGTTTTTATTGTTTGGGGTTTTTTTTACCCAATTCTTCTGTGTTAGCCTCTATTTCCATAGTTCTTGGTTATATTTAGACATTCTTCTTCTTTCCTCTCAAGCACAAATTTAGAGACAGCCTGAGAAAGTCCTTTATGTGGAGCTATTTTTACTTCACTTTATTGATTTTATTTTGCAAATTTATTTGTCTTCCTCCTTTGTGCTTCCAGAGAGAAGTCAAAACCCTGCAAATTATAAATAGATTATTAACATTGATTCACTGAAATTGTGTGAGAAGGCATGTAATGCCCTAGCCACTCAAAATTCTGCTTTGTCATGTTTAGGGCTAAAAAAAAAAAGCATCACAAGCACCTTAAACATAATGGAGATGAAACCAACCTTTCATTATGACCCAAGGGTCCAACCCTTTGCCAAGATGGTGTTATTTGAATAATCACAATGATGACAGATGTCAAATTTACTCACTCAACAAGCACTTACTGAGCACCTACTCTGTGTTGGGCACTGTGTAAGGCACAGGACTAAGCACTGTGGGGTAAATACCAATCCTATATAATAAAAGAGAAAAATGGTAATTGGCGTACGACGATACCCTTTTCATTGGCTAATCAGGGCTATATGCAAATTAACTGCCAACTCAGATGGCAGTTAACTGACAACAAAATGGCAGTTAATTTGCATATGTAGGCACAATACAGGGAGGCGAAGGGAAAGCAGGAAGAAGCCCCCTGCCATTGACAGTGATCAGAAACCCAGGGGGGATCTAAGAACTGGGGGGCAGGGCACAAGCGGCCCTGGGGCCGCCTTTGCCCTGCC